ATTTTACAGCTACTATTTGCAGCTACTATTTACAGCTACTATTTTATTTCAACAGAATCGAAAGTTGGGCTAGTTGGATATGCATGGTGTAATTGTCAGTTTTATTTCTTGTTCATTTTTTCAGCTCTATTGTTTTACCTGTATGCATTGTATTTTTTAACTCATGTATTTTTTGTATGCTAGTCTGCCTTTTTTTTAAATATCAAGTATCAATATTTCATACCTGCTATAGTCTCTGTTTGAGACTTCAGTGTCAATAAACAAAATAAGTAAATAAACTAGTTGTCTAGCACAGCGCAATGCTAAACAAACGTAGCGTTAGGCACAAGGTGGCCAGCATCGCTGCGAGCATCACTGCATTTAGCGAATGCGTTTTCAGTAGAAATAATTTTTCATGCTTTGTTAGCCTCAGACCTATACCTTATAGTGCCAGAATATCAGAATAAAAGCTACTATATCAGAATAAAAGAATATCAGAATAAGAAATATAATAAGAAATAAGAAATAATAAGAAATAAGAAATAAGAAATAGAATAAGAAAAGAAATATCAGAATAAAAGCTACTAGAGATGAAATTAGGATACTTCTGCGAAAATCAAACAGTGCCGGTTGAGCACTTGCGGCAACTATTACAATCTTGTTATTGCCAGGTGACACTGCCACAACTTCATCTCCGTTGAACTCCTTAGGGGAGTTTCACGTTGACGGAGTTGAACAGAGTTTGGTGGGGGCCGCGTGGCAGAGATATAAGCCCCAATTCCAATGAAGACGCTGCCATAGCGTTGGCAAAGGAACAGCATTTATGCAGCGCCACTCTCCACACAACACGCTTCTGAAAATGAGCGGGATTCTGTTAAGATAAATGCAGTGGCGAAGCCAGGAGGTGGTACACCAGGCCCGTGTCCTACCTCCCTCCCCACCCGAAATGTTTTCGCCAAGGCATACAGAGAGAAATATGACCATTTCAAGGGGGTGTCCTCCCCTGAAATTAAAAAGGTGCCTCTCCCCCCCCCCAAAAAAAATTCTGCCTACGTCCCTGGTTCAAGGTACACAAAGTATTGAAGCCGCGGATAATTTCAGGACTCGACGACGAGCACGAAAATTAAGTTTCTTAGCTGTGGCAATATGGATGTCAAAAAGTAAAACATGAAAGTTTAAAGGAATGTTCGAGAAAATGTTGATAATCTTTTCTCGAGGGAACGCTAAAAAATTAACAAAAGTACGTCGCGTCATTGACTTCGGCGTGTTGTTAGCATTCCTCATTAACTTTTAGCACTGCGTAAAACTGTACTAAAAAAGCTAATGAGGACAGCTAACAAAATGCCGGCATCAATGACATGACGTCTTTTTCCTAATTTATTTAGCGTTCCCTCGAATAAAACCTTGTCAACATCATCTCGAACTTTCCTTGAAGCTCAGGGGAATACATGGAACGAATTACAACTATTGATTACAGAATTGGACGCGAAAAGCAGAAGAGTGGGTCTGAAAGTTAATATGCATCAAGCTAAAGTAATGTGAAACAGTATCTGTAGAGAACACCACCTTGCGATAGGTGGCGACAGACTGGAAGTTGTAAAGGAATATGTCTACTTAGGACAGGTAGTAACCGTGGAGCCGAATCATGAGAGTGAAATAACTAGAAGAATAAGGATGGCTTGGATCACATTCAGCAAACATTCTTATATCTTGAATGGTAGTGTACCACTAAGCTTGAAGACGAATGTATATAACAGCGGCAGCATACCGTTGGTTACCTACGGAGCGGAAACCTTGCAGGCTTACAAAGAGGATTCAACTTAATTTGAGCACGACATCGCGAGTTATGGAAAGAAAAATTGTAGGTGTAACCTTAGGAGGCAGAAAGAGAGCAGAATGGGTCAGGGAACAAACGGGGCTTAAGGATATCATAGCTGAAATAAAGAAAAATGCCCGGGCACGCAATACGTAGGTAGGATAAACGCTGGTCATTAAGGGTAACTGACTGGATTTCAAGAGAACACGAACGCTAAGGAGACAGAAAATAAGGTGGGCAGATAATATTAAGAATTGCTAACGTGGCAGCAGAAAACACAAGACCGGGTTGATTGGCGTAACATAAGAGTGGCCTTGGCCTTGCAATGGGCGTAGTTATTTTATTTATTTATTTATTTGTTTGTTTGTTTGTTTGTTTGTTTGTTTGTTTGTTTGTTTATTCATTTATAAAATACTGAGTACAAAAAGTCCAAGCATTGTGAGCAAAAATACATACCAATAACAGGAAATAAGGTTGCAAAGTGGCCTTTACATCATGAATTTGGTTGTAAGACGAAAAAAAACAACTTTGTGATGATACAACTATAAGGAAGCAACAAAAGAACAGCATCCGCACAAATAGTCACGGGCGCTCGGGGAATGCTTCCGTTAGTGTATTCCAATCAGCTATCGTTTGTGGGAAAAAGGAACACCAGCGAAAAGTGTCAGTCCTTGCGAAGATTGGCGTTAGGGAATGAGGATAGTGGTACCGAGTACCATGATGATGATGATGACGATGATAATGATCAAAACAACTGTGTAAATAAAGAATTCGATAACGTAAGAAATCGCCATGAGCAAAAGAAAAAAAACGACCGACTGCAGAACATCATTTATGTTGTGCGTCACTAAAGAGTCTGCCGACGCAGTTACTTATTTCTGATAGTTATTAGGTATAGTTCATGCGTGCGGATTCCCTATTAGGTGAAGAAGCCTTTGGATTGGTGCAGTGTAAGATATATTTGTGCACGTTGGAATAGTGGACAGCTCTACTTAATTTTGATACAAGCGCGTCGTAGCTACGGTTAATTACATATCTTCTTACAGACTATGAGCACCTGTTTTATTAGAGTCGATTAACAAACTCGCGTGGGCGCATTACAGGGTGTTGGAAGCCCAAGAACACAAGAACGCATTGCCTGTTTTTAAATGGCGGGTGTCGTCTGCCAGCGGCTGAGAGCACGTCAGCCAACCTGCCTTACCCGATCCCTTATGCCGCGATGAGTCATACGTCTGCGAGGATATCTGAGCACGCGATCTCTCTGCCTCCATCTAACCACGTCTGTCGCGCTGCTGTCGCACAGCCAAAGCAAGGTGCGACGCACTGCCGTAGCATTTCGGAAAGGTTGCTGGTGAATCATACTCAAAGAGAGCGCGGTAATGACGTCGGTATAACAATACAGTATATCGCTTCCACCGCTGCCAAGATACAGAGAGACGCAGACGCGTATGAAAAGCGTCAATCACAGCTGCGCTAAAACTCATCCCCGTTGCAGGAAGAAAGCAAACAACTCCCCCTCATATCGACGACACTACGGTAACGTCGACCCCGGCATCACAGAGTTTATTGAGTAGGCGTCGACTCGCAAAAGACAGACACCTTCTTACGTTCTCACGTACCCTAACAACGTCTCGTGGACATTAATCACGTGAAACAATGGCGAATAATACCTTTATAGTTGTTGTGTTAGATCGTGTAAGTCGTCGTTCCCCGAAAAACTGTGATCACGTGTCCTCGGCCGTCGAACGATATTTGCGTCGTGCTTCTCGAGAAGAACAAATTAAAACCCGAAAGGTGTCCACATTGCGTGGCGCCATCGCTTGATGAGCACCGGAGTAGCGTCCACTCTTATCATCGGCTGCTGTTTTTATCGTCTCAGTTATCAGCGCATATGCAAAGAAACGTTGGTTCATGTAGTACGCTCATTTTTTTCTGTACACGCCAAACTTAATGATGTGCTTTACCACTCGTGTGTTTCGCGCATGACAGCTGCCGGTGTCAAAATGCCAGCCCGCTTGCCATCGCTTGCTCGCAGTAACGCCATGGTCGCCGAAACCCAAGTAACTAATTGATGGGGTTCTAAGTGCCAAAATAACGGTATAGTTGAAAGTCGCGCTACATTGAGGGGCTTTGGGTTAATTTAAGCTAGCTGCACGGGTTCCTTACCGTAAACCCGAATTCGGAGTCCCTCACAACGGTGTGTCTCATAATCATATTGAGAAAACCTGGGTAACGTCACCGAAAGCTGAGTGCTCTACGCGAGAAACCTTGTCGTAGTCAGAAAAACTAGTGGAAAGTACTTGCTTTTGGCACAATATTAAGGAGAAATAACAGGCAACACGGCCAAGGAAAGTATAGGGGCTGTTATTAGTATCAAATGCATTGTAAATGTTAATAAAGAAAAGTTGACGAAAAGATGACTTGCCGGGCAGAGATCAAACCTACGACCTTCAAATATCGCGTCCGGTGCTTTAGCCAACTAAGCGCTCATCGACGCTCCCACGTTTAAATGCACGAATATACCCCTCCAAGTGACGGGGCGGGGGGGGGGGGGGGAGCTTTTATGCTAGCTCAATTGGTAGAGCATCGAACACGTTATTCGATGGTCGCAAATTCGGTCCCAGCCCACGACAAGTTATCTTTTCGTCCGCTTCTTGCAGTCAACAACATGTAAATGTTTCCCTTGTGAATAGAAGAGTCTTCATTTACGTGAACCCCATGCAACAGGGCCATAATAAGTGATCATACCCAAAGAATCATTGTTAATTCATATTTTTAATTCTAAGACGTGTCTTTTGACAATTAGCATTCAAACAAGCGTTGCCAATGCTATGCGCAGCGCGAGCGGCAGTGTCAATGAACCCGAGAAAAGGTTAATCGCCTCCTTTTATTGTCTTGAATCACGGGCAATGTCTTCCATAGCAAAAAAATATTAACGAATTGAAATTAGTGACGTTTAATAATAACCTATCAGATGAAATGACAGGGAGTGAACTATGGGATCATTTAGCATGCAAGTTGTTTTACATAATTCCACACAGAATATTCAAAGCTTACACGGAACTAACACAGCTTGAAGTTGTCTTGTCGTCACGAAAATGCTCAGTTGTACGCCTAAAAAATACGCATGTACCGAGCGAGGGCGTGAGATTTTAGAACAAGCAGTATTAACAAAGCGCGCTGCACTTCGGTTACGCTACTCGATTTACGTAATCGCGGTATAATCTAAGCGTCGTTCATGTGACACGTGCCGCGCACTACTGCGAAGAATGCGGCTGCGCCGTAATCTGTCGTAGTCCCTCTTCCCTTTGTTTCAAAATATTTTTTTATCTACAGAGATGACCGCTCCGCCGCTCAAAACTATAGGCGCTCCGCTTTCAACTACAGCTGTTTTATCGCTAGCTTCACGTTACTATCGCCGCGAAGGACGCACCCTCGTTCCCACGCCGTCTCCGTCCTCGGAAAAATTGAGGCACTACCCGCCTGAGCGGGGCTCCCTCCGTCTCGGTGGGCCGAACTATGAGCTGCAAGACCACGTAAGTTTGCGTCCAGAGTTATATTCCGGTTGATGAGTGCGAAAGCTTGAAAACTTTCTTCTGTGTGCTTTGCGACCATACCTATTCCGCTGCGTGCGCTCAGCCCAGTCAATGAGGAACACTTCACAGCTTCGAACTGCCACAGTCGTGTTTTCCCGTGTGCACTGCATGCTTCTGTGCGTTCGACCGACGTGGTTTTTTGTCGCGTAGAGGTATATCTTAGCGGCCGAAATGTAACTACAACTGCTTGGATTGCCCAGACGAGAACACCGTTTAATGCAGCAGCGCTTGCACATATAGCTGGTATTCGCTGATAGTGCACTTAACTTGTTTTCATGCGTGCTTGTGTTACCTGTTTGCCGTAAGGCATAGAAGAACGCCTTGAAAATGAGTGGGCTTTTTGGTGTGTTTTCATTAATTCGCTTTTAATCACCACCAACAAGCCATGACTGCGAGCGCTTCTGTATTATGTTTCCGCGTTTGCAATTTCGTTTTGTGCGGACAGCGCTGTTTTTCTTGGCTGTATACCAAACGTCTCCATTTTTGACATCTGTGGAAGTGAATTCGTAGTTTTGAATCACTCCTGCTTGTGTATAAATTTTTCTGAAGAATCGGAATGCCTATTTTGGCTTATATATTATGTACTTCTGGAGAATAACAGAAAAAAATGTTTCATTTTTATCATCTGTTCCCGAAGGACGTGGTGTGAATGCATGCACAGCAGGCATAATATACGTGTGCATAACACTTATGTGCAGCGATGCTAATATCGTAAAGCAGTTTGCTCATGCGTAAGATTATTGTCCTCGTGGCGTATTCGAGACCACAGCGTAATGTAATACACAGCCAGCTTTTTGAATGCCTCAATGCGAGTCGTACAGCAAGAGTGCAAGTTTACTGCCACCCTATTCGAGATTACGTAAGAATTTATTTGTTTGACATACTGTATAAGTAGTATGATCGCGGTCAGTGGAAGAACACAAATTATGAGCCCTTGGGCTAGCCTTAGTACTGCGTCATATTCTCCTAAAAGAGAGGAACACTACTTGAAGGATGGTGTAATACCGCAGGAGGTATTTAGTAGTCATAAAAAAATGCTATGACGTGCAAAAACCACACCTATATTTTTTTTCTTACCTTCGATGTACGCCCAGTTACTTGACTAATCTGCAGAATTAACTAGGAACACGTGTTTTGCGAAGAATCGACCATATTTTATTTAAACATTCAGTGTGCTCGCGTCGAGACAATGAATCAAATAATCTCAAGTGCACCACGCTCTCAGTGACGCGAAAGATGAACACGTGTGTCGTGACGAACGTCATCGCCCCCGCACTTTTCAAAGGCCGGGTAATAATCCACTCCGAAGCTATGCGCTTTTGTTAGGCCGCGCATGGGTACGTGAGCTGCTCATCAGAAGAGCTTTCACAACTCCTAGCCGTGCGTATGTCGATGTTTGACGACGACGCTTTCGCGTTGACAAAACACACACGTGATTGCAACACCAAGGCATTACGAACGTTTGATCATGAGGTGGCAATTAGGCAAAGGAGGTGAGCGCGTAGCTCCAAAAGGCACCGCGTTTCGGAAAACGCAACAACTGGCCCGTGTAATCTTGTCATAACACATTTCAAGAAGATACATGATATGGTCGCGTTTAGTTTTTTTCCTTTGCTTATTCATTCATTACTTTTCTGATTAGTTTATATGCCCTATACTGGCGGTTATTGCCCCAACAACACTTTTTCAGCATGGTCAGAGAACGCAGTCGGTCGGTACTCAGCGCTCCTGAGAATATGCGAGTCGCACATTTGATCGCTGCCCGAGGCCTGAAATTTGCAATTAATTATCGGTCAGCTGGATATAATTTTCTTTTTCTACGAATGATGCCGGCCCCGCCGCGGTGGTCTCGTGGCTAAGGTACTCGGCTGCTGACCCGCAAGTCGCGGGATCAAATCCCGGTTGCGGCGGCTGCATTTTCGATGGAGGTGGAAATGCTGTAGGCCCGTGTGCTCAGGCGCACGTTAAAGAACCCCAGGTGGTCGAAATTTCCGGAGCCCTCCACTACGGCGTCTCTCATAATCATATGGTGGTTTTGGGACGTTAAACCCCACGTATCAATCAATTACGAATGATGCCGTGTACCCCAATGACCACACCGTATACCCAAGTTCACGGCCATTGGCTGATTTGACCGCCGTGAGCAGCATAGTTACCTCTGCCGCAGCGAGGGGCCGACACGTGTCTGCTCGCGGTCAAACTGAAAGTATGCAGTGCGTTCGAAAAAGTTTAAATGTCATGAGGCACATGTGACCTAAGTTCCTTCTCCTGGGCCACTCCTCCCTGCTTTGTTTACGACCCACTCGTCGGGACTATCGAGAGAAGAAAGCGCTCACAGCGTGCGACAAATCCCTGCAACTCCGCTCGTTTTTGACGAATTTGAAAAGCTTTTGCTGCAGTGGACTTGTGAGGCAATAAACTCCTTTAATGACAGAGGTTGCATTTTCAGATTTCTCGGGAAAATATTCCGGGTGCCTGAGGAACTTCGCATACAAATAACTATTGCATGCTTCGCCCGTGGCGCATGCCTGTTTCTTCGTCGCTCTTTGTCATGCCGAGAAGCTCTACTCCACGTGACGGGACTTAGGTTGCAAGTGATTGGTCCACAAAAGAAGAATATGGAGTATTTTGTTTTTCCTGCTACCCCGCTTCGCCATGTGATCGCACAGCACTTTTCCTTTGTCGCCTGATTCGGCGGTTGTGGGCAATAAAATGATTTTTCCCACGTGTAATACAGTCTGAATCACATGCGTGTCTTCAGCAGCCAGTTGGTCGATTCGGGTGCCGCCTGTTGAAAAAAAAACAAGAAAAAAGTTGCGGAGGCCATCCGACTCTGTGAAGGTCAATAACCAGTGAATCAATGCAGCACGTTTCACAGGGTTACCCAGGGGCGCGGCCGGAAAATTGCATTTTTCAATTGTACGAACTTCCCGATATAGTTAAAAAATTTGAGCATCCCGATCACTTTGTTAAAACGAGTATCATTATTATCATGGGCGGAGTGCATGCTTGAAGTCTGCTTAACTAGTATCGGCCCCGCTCACCATTTTTTTCGAAGTTTCACAGATACGTAAAGTGCATGGACAGGCCGACACCGCAATGAAATCACGCATAGTCCTGCTGTATACTAGGGTCATGTACTATATATTACGAACATAGGTGGGACTTTTTAGCTACCACAAAGTAGTGACAGCGCCCTGAGAAACCGTCCACAGCCGGCCACCAAACCACCTCAAAGCGCGAAGTCCTAACAGACCCAATGCTCAGTATTTGCGTTGTCCCGGCAGAAGTGTAGATAACGTCGGGGGCGCGTATACAAATACACGTGGTGATGCTTTTTTGTGGTTTGAGCCAATTAACGGTCAGTGAAGTGTGTTGACTGCAGTTTACCGGTAATACGCTCTTTTCTGCCGTATCTACGCATGAAACTTATGCAACGTTACTGTTACTAAGCTCACCGTGGCTGGCTGACTGCGTGCTTTTGCACTAAATCACGCTGGTGCGGAGTTGTCTGTACGCATTTCACTTATGTTCCGCCTACTACGCACTGCTCTTGCACGACTGAACTACTTAACATCTTGCTCATCTGAATACTCATCTGAATACTATAAAAGAAAGATAAGGAAAGATATCCCTCATATCGGTGCCACTGTTCGCACCAAATACGCATTCGAATTTTTGGCCTCATTCTGTTCCCCATAAAATGTGGGACTGTCGATATGTCTATCCATGAAAGCTTCGTGGCTGACAGCACTTTGGTTTACATATTTTTATCACGTACCCACATGTTCGTGCACCAGTGGTACTATCAAAAGCTCATAATAGTTCTGCAAAAAACTTTCGTCGAAGAATTACATGCATATGACAGGGATGAAACAAAGGTCTGCTTATTTCATAGAAAGAACGTACATGTAGTCTTTTCTTCTTTTTTTTCAATAAAAAAAATCACCGCTGCCTCAAACGTTAAAGACAGTGTAAAAAAAGGATTGCATTTTCCGTGAAATTATACAACAGTAATGAAAGGCACGCCGTCTGAATCAATTTTGAACGTCCGAGTTCTAAGCACACGGGTGCTTCAGCCTAAATATCAGTGTGCCCCGCCGCGGTGGTCTAGTGGCTAAGGTACTCGGTTGCTGACCCGCAGGTCACGGGATCGAATCCCGGCTGAAGCGGCTGCATTTTCGATGGAGGCGGAAATGTTGTAGGACTGTGTGCTCAGATTTGGGTGCACGTAAAGAACGCCAGGTGGTCGAAATTTTCGGAGCCCTCCACTACGGCGTCTCTTATAATCATATGGTGGTTTTGGAATGTTAAACCTCAAATGTCAAAGCGTAAATATAAGTGCGTAAATTTCGCCCCAAGTTAAAAAATAGCACTTGGCAACTCCGTTTTAAGACGATTTAAGTACCGAAGTGTTACGCTTACCTTGATAGAATTCCCTCTCTGTAGTAGTACCATGGCCAGATCACCCTAACTAAAGCTCACCGCGTAGTGCATGAACTATAGAGAGTGCCGTAGTTATGCGCCTATTAACAAGGTGAAAGTGCGTGGCTTAGAGCCTGGTTTTAGGTTACAGCCAAGTCGCTCAAACGATGAATTCACTCACCATTTAATAGTCTTCATGTTCGAGATTCCCAGAGAAGGCAAGCGCGTTAGGGGGAGACCGAAAGTTAAGTGGGCAGATGAGATTAAGAAGTTTGCGGGTATGTAGTGGCAGCAGCAAGCGCAGGACCGAGTTGACTGGTGGAGCATGGGAGAAGCCTTTGTCCTGCAGTGAACGTAGTCAACTCTGATGATGATGATGATGATGATGATGATGATGATGATGATGATGATGATTGAGACGATGCCAAGTGCATTTTACGGTGTGCTTAAAGCAGAAAGCGGCACCCAAATTTAAATAACTTTGATAAATGAAGGCTACGACGACAAGAAACAGC